CGGAGGCGTGTCGGCGTGTCGGCGTGTCGGACACTCCGACACTCCAGTAGTTTGGCGTGTCGGTGCAACATAGGTCCTGGACATATTTAAGTTTTCCTCCTCCCTTCTTAACTCTGGCTAAAAACAAAGCAGTAGTTAATTTGGTTTTTAAATTTTCATGTACAATGCAAATGAATATAGTTAGTTTGGGGTAAAAAATCCGGCCTGACGTTTGTAACTTTCTTATGACCATTCAAATGGTTGCTTTAGAGCATCTTCAACCGATATGTCAAATTGCCACATGGATATGAAATTGTAAAAATTGAAGGTTAAAGTTGCTTTAATCGAGTAGTCAAATTCTACATGGATTTGAATGCTGGAAAAGACATGTCAAAAATAACATATCAAAAAGCTCAATGTTAAAATTTTTAAAATATTTTTTTGGTCATAGACCCCACTATTATTTACTCTCTTTAAAAACTTTATGTATTATATGGGTCCCATTTGCTTTTAAAAATATAATAAAATAATATGATATTTGGCATTTTGGGTGGAGTTACATTTTTTCCAAAGTGTCAAATTACAACATAAGCCATCAAATTCAAATTTAACATTTTGCATTTGACATCTCCCTTGAAACTGCTTTTAAAATTGGAAGGTCGCATATTAGTATGCACTATTAGGCATTACCAATGGTATAACAAATGCAAGTTATCCCATTTTTTACTAGCTTCTACTTCAATAATGTGTTTTGACATGAGATGAGTTTTAAAATCTACCTATATTATACCCATTAATTTTTGGTCTAATGTTACTTCTCTTTTAAAATAAAAAATCAACCTCTAACACGTCGTAATAAGTGAAAACAGTTAAACAATAGCTAGACTTAAAGCATGCAAGTATGGACTTCACTAAAAATATGGGAGAAGTTTCCAAATTTATTGAACAATAATAGGAATAACAACCTAATCACAAAGCTAAATTGCTTATAATACCACATCAAACCCTTATTTATTTATTTATTTATTTTTTATGCAAACAATATTTTATTTTAGTCTAAAAGCAAAAAAACAAAACAAAAAGCCGGCATTTTGCAAACGTTGAAAAGGGCAAGGCGGACGGTAGGTAGGCAAAGAGAGAGCCAAAAAAAGAAGGCTTTCTCTCCGTTTCTCCATAACCAAGGCCCTACATTTGACAGCTTGGACCAAAGCTTTTCCTACTTCTCCCAAGCTTTTCCCAAGTCAGCTCGTACGGCATCCCTCCCTTCCCCGTTGCTTTGTATTTTCTCTTAATTTATTTACTCTCTCTCTCTCTCTCTTTGCGTCTCTCTGCAACTCTTCCAAACACTTGCATTGATTGAAACGAAGCTCTCTGCGTCTCGAAATCTCCGTTTCATGGGCACTCTCTCGCATGCTGCGATCGCCCCCAGACTCGCCGCCCTCCACCACCACCGCGCTTCCCATGGACTTTCGCATCCGAGTTCGCCGTCTCTGAGGCTGCCTACTTCCAATGGAGTTGCCAAGAAGAGCCGCGTCGTCTTCGTTCAGAGCAAGAGCCACAACCAGCACATCGATTTCAGCGATCCTGACTGGAAATCCAAGTTCCAGAGGGATTTCGAGAGGCGCTTCAACATCCCTCACATCACTGACGTCTTCCCCGACGCTGTTCCCATTCCTTCCACCTTCTGCCTCAGGATGAGGTCACTTCACTCTCTCACTCAGTTGCTTTCTTTCTTCTTTAGTTTTGAATTTTTAGTTCTGAGTGCCTGAAATTGCTTGAATTTATGTTGCAGGACTCCGGTGATAGAAGACTTTGCAGGGGGCTACCCATCGGATGAAGAGTGGCATGGTTACATAAACAACAACGACCGCGTACTTCTCAAGGTATGTATAAGTATTACTCTACTATTATTCTTGAATGAATCTCTGTTTCTACAAAATTTCGTAATCTGAACTTGTTGAACCACTATTTAGTGTACCAGTCTTTGTGATAGTCTGTTTGAGTCAATGATTGATTGATGGGTTTACTAGTCTTGAGAAATGATGCGAAACTTATTTTTTTGGGCCTTCGTTTCATTATGAGAGTACCCTTTTTTATTTTTGTTACTTACGTTGAACCCAATTGAATTGTAATAATATGATGGTTTTTTTTGTTCTTTTCTGTTATGTGGTTCCCATGTGAGCAATACTAAAGACTGTTGCTTTGTTGTTTTTTGTTCAATATTTTCAGACTATATACTATTCGTCACCTACATCTGCTGGTGCTGAATGCATTGATCCTAACTGTACGTGGGTGGAGCAATGGTAATTATTTCTCTCTACTCTCTTATAGTTGCTTGTGGATTTCCTACGTGAGCTATTCAGTGGCAATAAGTTGATGGTTTCCAGTAAGGTTATGTTTTAGTTCCTTGGAGGTTTGCCAATCAGACATAGAAACAGATCTGTTTCTGTGAGTACTAGTGGGTGGTTTGGGGACTGCGTGTGGGTTCTCTGCAAGGCCATTTTGACAGGGATTGGTGGTCCTTCTACAGGGTGAAATGTCAAGGGCATGCTTGATGTGGGTTAAATATTTTTTCTTCTCAAACTTTGTTTTGTTTTTGTTTCTGTTGTGGGCGGCAGGGGGTTGAGAGGTAATGGAGATATTTACTAGGATCAAGCTGTCAGTAGAGAGTGATGCTGGAGGTTGAGAGATAATGGATATATTTACTAGGATCGAGCTGTCAGTAGAGAGAGATTGTGGAAGACTTGTAGAGTGGA